ATAGTGGAAAAAAGATACCAAGGTACTGGCTGTTGGACTTTAATAAGTGATTATCCTGAACAAATCCATAACAGAAAACCTTACAGAAAAAGTTTTTGTAGGTTTTTTCTTTATTTGATAAAAAGCATATTTTTTATAGGGTAAGAGTCCCTATCTATCTAAGTAAAAATATTTTGAATGCATAAAATTAGTATTTTCATGTCGGTTTTCTCAGAGAAATAGCTAATAGTCTTTATTTTAATCTAATTCGACATATCTAATAATTTTCTAGTATTCAGCACCCTACTCTTATACTGAATTGGCTATAAGCTACTATACCGCACAATAACTGTCCCCAATGTTATTGGGCGTAAATCAATATAAAAATCGAATAATACACTTATTTTTAAATATTAGAGAGCAATATTAGGGAATATGCCATATAAAACAATTCAGCCTAAGGATTAGATGGGCACAAGTACAAGTAATACCCAAAATCACAACAACAGAAATAGTAAAATAAAGGCCTAACTTTGAAATATTTTTTTAAACAATTTTTTTACATACTTATAATCAATATTTTCAAAAATGTCTCATGTCAAATTATATAACAGATACCAGTGATGAAGTATGCTTAATTTGAAAGTTGTAGCTGATAAAATAAACATTTTAGAGCCAATTATGTAAAAAACCGCGATCCGCCGATTGGTTTTTTGGCTTTTCCCAAAAAACTGAATTTTGGAGTTGTGCCCATTCATTATTAAGGGTGCGACATGGCCGAAGAAGGTCCAAATGCGTGACTGAACCGTGGTTGATAGGCGCTGTCTGATGCCGACTTGGTATCCCTAGAATAGTAAATTTTAATTCCCATTTTTATTAGCCAATCGCCGAACCTTAATTCTGATCGCCATCGCTGCACGCCGGCTGATCGCGTGTGATCGCGTTAGTTTGGCTGAACCTTAACTGTATTATTATTATCATATTAGGCTGGAAGACGTAGCGTGGGCAGGCCTCCTACTAGGTGGACCGACGATCTCGTAAAGGTCGCGGGAAGAGCCTGGATGCGGGCAGCGCAGGACCGTGCATTGTGGAAAACCTTGGAGGAGGCCTTTGTCCAGCAGTGGACGTCATTTGGCTGAAACGAACGAACGAACGAACGATTAGGTACTTAATAATTCTCGTTTACACAAATATTATTATGTAGGTATTCTGTCACCGTGAAATACTCAGTTTATTAATAACGCGTGAGTTTGAAACTAACAGTGCAGGTTAAAGTTGTATTCTAACTAAGTCAGATTATAATCTGACGGCATCCACAATTTTACGGCGACCTTTCGTTTAAAAAAGCCAGAATATGACGCCCACTGCTGGACAAAGGCCACCCCCAAGGATTTCCATAGCGACCGGTCCTGCGCCGCCCGCATCAAGGCACCTCCCGCGACCTTCACCAGATCGTCGGTCCACCTAGTGGGAGTCCTGCCCACGCTTCGTCTTCGTAGACTTTTCCGCCCCAGAGGCAGAGTACTTTGTTTTTTCTATGCTAAAGGCAAAAATACGTATTATACAAAGTGTTAGGTAAATGGGTATATGAGCCGACACTAGCCCATGTTAACATGGTCATATAAATGGTATGGTGAAGTCAGAAATTTGATATCATCATTTTATTTTTTTAAATTTTCATACAAAATAAATTTTATAAAATCCGATTTGTACGAAAATTAAAATAATTAAAATGAAGATATAAATTTTCTGACTTCACCATACCATTTATATGACCATGTTAACATGGGCTAGTGTCGGCTCATATACCCTTTTACCTAACACCCTGTATACAGGGTAGAGGTGGGCGCCACGCCGGCGCGCCGCCGCCGCCGCGAATTTTTTCACGCCGCCGCCGCCGACGACCAGCTGTCGGCGCGCCGATACTGATATTGTACCAACTATTTGCAATTAATTCCTTTCCTATACTATACTTTCTGGATTTGTGTTTCGAACGCAGAAGAAGTAACTAAATATTTATTCTTTAATGCCATATAAATTGATACACAAGGCGAAGTAAATGCCGTTGACATACTAATAAATTGATTGAATAACTTAATAATAACTATATTAACAGTTAATTCAAGTTGCTGCTTGGTCTAGTAAATAACAGATCGCGAGAGGCGCCGCTCCCTCTTGCTGTCAAGAAAAAAATCGGAGCCTTCGTCTGGCATGACTATACTTTAAGAGAATCACTCACACAGAGAATGCAAATGGGAACCACAAACTCTGGAAGGCAACAAAGTACATCCNGACAATGCCGGAAATTGGCGTCTTTTTTTTTCGCGCGGCCATCGACCAAACCTTGTTTTTTGATTACAAAATAGTGTAATAAACCAAACTTACTATGACATGTATACCTCTAAACTCAGTCTGAACTGAGTTACGAGCATTAGAAGTTTGATGATTTTCATACTAGATTTGCTTTTTGCGCGCAAGTTTTGTAAGAAATTGCAATAAAAAGTGGCAAAATCTGACATTTTATTCGGAAGGATTCGATTTTCCAAAAGTGTGACTAGTCTATTCTACTAATAGACCCACTGATCGCGTTCGAAGCACCTTGGCAGCACTATACTCGTCACGACATGCAACGAGACAATGGGCCAACTATCCGGCCGCCGGATATCCGGCTATCCGGCCTAGCATCTGGCCGGATATCCGGTATCCGGTATCCGGCCAAACAACTATCCGTTTCATCTCTAGTCCCGATGATACTTCGATTTTCTTACAAGAATAACGTGACATATAAATAATTTCTCTTTTATTTTGCTTTTTGTTTTAGAAGAACACTGTGATAAGTATGACGTGCCACATTGTCGAATAAAATAAAAATATTTTAAAAACTTACCTTTGTCATCAATACCGCGGTATCCTCTAGATGTCACGTTTTTCTTAAAAACGAAGAGCACCTCACATCTCAAAGCGCAGGTGGCAACTGAACTGTCACAGTGTCGAAGCCAACTAGATCGCCGAACGAGCCAGCGCTATAACGTAATATTTTGTCTCTTTCTCTCATAGTATTGTTGTTTTTGGAGTAACAAATACCCTGTTTTTGGAGATAAAAGAACGCAAGATCGCGGTTCAGAATTTCGGTAAAACAAAAAATTTAATTAATTTTGCGTGGATTCCTAGTCATACCAATATTCCAGGAAATGATAAAGCTGATAAGCTGGCCAATGAAGCGGTTGAGTGTGGAGATATACATCCGTACACAAATTATTGCCATGACTTAACGGCAGCCCTTCCCAAAGCTTATCTCAAATCTGCCTGGGATGAGAATTGGGAGTTCACTAGCCAATCTAAGGGGAAACATTACAAGCTCATTCAACCATCCATCCTTTGTAAACCATGGTTTGTTAAAATGAATCTTTCCAAAACAGTTACTACCATTTTAACTAGAATGCGACTTGGTCACGTGTGCACTCCAGCACACTTGGCTAAAATTCATGTACTTGATAATGATTCGTGCATTTGTGGTTCTGGCGTCGGAGACTTAAATCACATATTTTTTTACTGTTGCCTATATGATCGTTCCTCTTTTATTAGTTCTCTTTTAGCCATTAAAATTCCTTTTCCTACATCCATCACTTGCCTATTATATACCAATAACATTGATGTTTATAATATCCTAGCCGAATTTATTACCCATAATAATATAAAATTGTAAATAGTAATGTATATTGTACTTATGTAAATATTATTTTATTTTTATTATTTTGTAATTATATCACACCTAAATTGATCCTATGAAAACCATCCTTTGTTCCGTTTCCATCCGTAATTGATTCGTTTCCCTACCTTTTAACTTTAACCCAATCCCACCCTGTCTAAACGCAATGTCCGCAAAACTTATGGCAAAACTGAACGCAAAAATCAAGAACCCTGTCGTGGCTAAACGCAATCCGCGAGAGCCATAAAGAAAAAAAAAAAGTATTGGAATTTATCGACTAAAGTCGCTGTTTGGAAGCAAGTTTGATCGTAGTATGGAAGTTTCCGTACCCTGCTCCAATCCAAATCCAATCCAATCTCAGAATCCAATTTTTTTGACGACCGAGTCGACTGACATTAGTGACATTTGACAGTTTTGACACTGTTGACAAATTGAATTTTTTTTTGTTCGAATCTTCTCTGCAAAGACATGCCATAAAGCCAAGTCTTCAGTTTCTTAGTTCGATCAACGAAAGTTGAGGCGAATGTAGTATTTGAGCACAAACAACCATTTTCACTGCAATTTCATGCATGAAACTGCATTTACTTACCCACCAATCGTGGGAACGGAGCTATATGGGGCTCTTTACGCTAGAAGGGTGGAGTTTACCCACTTAACCGACGGACAGTAGCCGGAGCCAAAAGAGACGGAGCCGCGAGTATTGTCCTGTGGGAAATGCATCCTAGTCACGGCTCGTTATGGAGCGAGCTGTGCATTTACCCCACCAATCGTGGGAATGGAGCTATAATATGGGGTTCTTGGTTCTTCACGCTAGAAGAGTGGAGTTTACCCACATAACCGACAGACGAGACGAGGAGGTCACACCAATTCACAATTGCACCCCTTAATAAGCCTTCTTTCCTTTGTTTTCTTGCCTTAAACACCAAAACTATGTGCGCCTTTGATTGAGGGACATTCAGCGGCGCTGCTGACAGAGCCAGAGGTCAACTTTATTTTTATACGTCCTTCTGTGACCTCATCTTTCCAGTGTTTGTATTGTACAAGAAAAGGAGCCATACGTGCTCCCAACTTAATTGAAAGTCAAATAGAGGCGCTTACTTATGGATAGAAGCTGAACAAAAATATACAGAAACATTATTGTGATGTCTTTCTTTTTTAAACTAAACAGAGATTTAATTACTTAATGAACTTCCATGAACATTTATTTATTTACTTATTAATAAAAAATAAAGTTTCTAAATTAATTCCCTGTAGTTCTTCTTTTTGCCGATTCCAAAATAACTTGGTAGCACTAAGTATCGTTGTCATGTTTAGTCTGTGCCACTCCCGGCAAAATGACAAATGACATGTTGTTTGTTTTGATTAAAATTTGAGAAAATTTTACCAGTCAAAAATCTAGATAAAATGCTTTCTTCAACAGTTCTGCGGCACGTAGTAAGTAATTTTCATGATTACCATTCCGCTAGTTTGTTTGCATATTTGGTAAATGGTCATTGGTCATAATTTGGGAATAGAGAAGACGGTGACTCATTTTTTACTTTCTGTTTATTGAATTATTTCCCTGTCTAATCGAATAACTAATACAAATATTAAGCTACTAACAAGGTTGTGCCAAAGTTTAGCGTAATCATTTCTTTTTTTTTCAGAGCCATTCACGAAATACTGCGAAACTATTTGTACCTAGAAATAGTCAAGTCCGAACTTTCTGGGAATATGTGAACATGATGTTTAATAAACCAGATCCCAAGCGTATAGAACAAGTTGGTCCGGATAGAGCGTGTGCAGAGTGGGTTTTGAGAAATGGTGGCAAAGTGGTTTGGGCAAACGGCAATACTCTTGCAGACTACAATGCCTTGCCACCTGAAGATCAGGGAGTGCCTAAACTGTTGGAAATAGATGGAACAGATTCATCTATTTCACACTATGGGTTTTCGCATTTAAGTAAGTTATAGCAGGCCTGTTCATCTCCGCGAGTTTACATCGAAAACAAAACACGCACGATTGCCCCCTACAAGAGTACTATTCGACAAGGCCTCACATACGAGCGAACATTGACTCACGCACGCGTATTCTTGTGTATGATAAAAAAAAATAAAGAAAATGGTGTACTAAATACTGTGCAGTATTTAACTGCCTAAATAATAATAAAAACACAGAATGTACTTTTTTAAGTTGCCTCAAGACACTGAGAGGTAAATAAGTAGTTAATATTATTCATGATAATTCATGCTAAATCATGTATTTCCTCCGCCATTTTCTGCAGATTGGCACCTCACGTCACATCATTTTACCGAAGTCAGCCCTATAGCTTCGGCGCAGTACCGATCACTGACGTTTGTCAACAAAACTTCTGACAAACTTGCTTGACTCTTGAGACAAGCTAAATTACACCATATTGTTAATGACATTGAGCATACATTTTCTTAAATACCTTCGCGAAGTAAAACTTCTGTACGTAGTACTTATTATTATTCTGTGGTTATAGTATTACTACAAATATTTATCTGTTACTGTTTGTGACTTTTAAAAAATTGATATTTTTTTAGGTGGATGCGATCTCTTGCAAAAAATTATTCTCCACAATGACAACTATATTGATGATAGAGCTATGCAAGGTCTGTCACATGGCAAAGACACACTACTGCATGTTCAAGTGTCTAAATGTCCCAGTGTCACTGATATTGGGTTGAAGGAGATAAAAGTGCTTGGCAAGCTGCAGTCTTTGGTGCTATTTGATTTGATTAGTGTTTCTAATCTTGAAGAATGCAAGAATTATTTAAAATCTCAGCTACCCAAATGCAATATAAAAGGTAACCAAGAGGATAAAGGTAACTTTAGATGAGTACTTTCAAAACACTATTGTTACTTACAATAAAATTAAAAATAATAATAATTTTTTTTTCAGGTAACCCAGAAATAAAAGAACCAGTCTGAGGTACAACATTTATTCAATTTTTATATGAAAAATATGTCAACAACTTTCGAGTTCTATTAATTTAATTAATAATATTTATTCTATTCAAATAAATTATTGCAGTTACTATAATAGTTTGTACTTTTTAATCTTCATTCTATGTCCTATTAACTTAGTGTATCACTTAGTCTCATTTACTGTATTGGAATTGCATTTTAGATGTTTGTGAAATTTCTATCTGGTTTTCTGATATACATAATTTACCATTCAACTTATCTTAATCTATTGTACTCCTTTACCAACTGCTTCATTTACATTTTTATATCCATTTTTTTCAAGTAAATCAGCCAATTCGGTTTTGATTTTGGTCACCACTGGAGGCCCATGATATATTAGGGCTGTGTATATTTGTACTATGCTAGCACCTGCTAGAATTTTTTCAAAAGCATCTTGGCCATTGAATATTCCACCAACCCCTATTATAGGTATTTTTCCTAGAACAAAATAATAAATTAAATTAAAGTTTTGAACATTATGTATAAAGGTAAAAATTAAACTTTGTAAAATACCTTTTGTTAACTTATACATATTTTTTATCATTTCAGTGGACTTATTTGACAACGGCTTTCCACTAAGACCACCTGTTTCATTTGAAAACTCTTTGTTTAAAAGAGATGACCTATCAATTGTTGTATTGGATATAATAAGCCCATCAACAGCACTCTCTTTTCTTGTGATAACAGACACAATATCTTTCATTTCCTCCGTGCTTAGGTCTGGAGCAAGTTTTAGTAGTAGCGGTGGTTTATTGCCAGATATTGATTGCCGAACTTTGTTTACTCCAGTTAGCAGTTCTTTGAGTTCTTCCTTATTTTGTAATGACCTTAATCCAGGAGTGTTGGGACTGAAAGAAATGCCAACATAATTACTTTACTGTACATTAAAAGTTATAACAAGTGCTCATAAAATTTAATAAGCTCACCTGCTAATATTTATAACAAAATAATCTGCAACATTGCTAAACTTCTTGATTCCTTGTACATAGTCCTCAGTGGCATTATCAGAAAGTTTATTTTTTCCTAGATTTATGCCTAGAAGTCCCTTTTCTAAGAGAGTCTTGTCTAAACTATTTAGTTTTTTCAATACTTCATCATGTCCTTCACTGTTAAATCCATATCTGTTGATTACAGCCTTGTCTTCAGGTAGTCGAAAAACTCTAGGTTTTGGATTGCCAGGTTGAGCTTCTGGTGTCACTGAACCAATTTCCACAACAGAAAAACCAATAGTTCTCAGTGGCAGCACAGCATCACCGTGTTTGTCGAATCCTGCTGCTATACCAATAGGGTTACTTAATTCGTATTGAAGAAATTTTGTACGCTGAAAAGAAAAGAACAAATTTTTTAATTAATAAATTAAACGTTCTAATACATAGCAACAAAGAATTAAATTAATTTTAAAACTAAAACCATATACACAAAACTTACTAGAATATTTGGATCTTCATAAGATTCACGAGGAAATAGACCATATTTTAAAGCCGATACACCAATTTTATGTGCCCATTCTGGATCTATAAACTGACTTGCAGGTTGAAGAACTTTGTCATAGTAACCATTAAAATCTTTCTTGAAGTAAATGCATTGATAAGCTACAGATCCACCTAGGGTCAGGTAGCATAGTGATTTTATCTTGTTCTGAAAATAGGTTCAGTGGTTCAGTAAGTAATTTTATTGTCAATAACCTAAAATATTTGATTATTCTCAAATTTATTTGAAAATTGCCGCTTATGCCATTTTAGAAGAAGTCAACTAATATTGCAGATTCTCACCACAGCTTGTTTTTTGGAACTCATTTTTTATCTTAGTCTCCAAATTAGTTTAGATTCCTATTAAATTTAATATCGCAGACTCCGAGACGAAAACAAACATATTATACCGAAGTTACCAAATGAGCACAGATTGACAGATAACTATATATCCAAATGAGGTACCTAGTGCTGCCCGAGTCTGCCTGACTGACATTACATATCGAGTATCGATACTCTCTCACTGTGGTGATCGAGTTAAATCAACTATGGGTATTTCGCCAAAAATGGTCAATTTTGCCTAATTTCCTTGGCACGAATTTTATTTTTGTTTTTAACTATTTTTAGTTTCCCATTGCATTAATTAGTAAAAACTAAGCTAAAATATCTAGAAGGGGTGTCATAATTCGTTTTAGAAACAAAGTTATGAGGTCATAAATTTTTGGTAGCCAAGGAAATTATTATAAATATTTTTTTCTCTAAGTTTTCTTCTGTGGTTTGCTTTTTTTTTGTTCGACCTATTTTTGTGTACTTTCGCAAGCAAACATGCCAATGAATATTATATCATTACGACCTTTTTACACAACTAAGGAAGATAAATGCAGAAGATTGAGTTAAAAGTTAAAAACAAGTTTTTCTATAACTATTCTGATACCTATTTCTTAAAATATAAATTTTAAACTTATTCCAATAAAGAAATACTCAAAATTTGACTTTACGCCGAATTATTAATGGTCTTTTATAATTTCCTAGGCCATTTTATGCCACGGAAAACAAGGAAATTAGGGTCAAAGAAATTAGATTTATGCCTAAAAGACACCACAGACAAAAACCTATTTACCCTATGCATTTACTATTTAAATCATGGGTTTACCCCTACAGACACTACATTTGTGTAAATAAACAATAAAATTAAACCATTGTTTATGTGCAAAAAACCGTCCAAAGAAATTGACTTTTTAGTAAACAAAAACCCAAGGAGGGACCTATTTATGCGATTTGTCGCGAAACTGATCAACGACGTACTGTCCTGCCTCAATGGCCTCTTGGGACGAAATGGCCGAGTGTAGTGGTGCAGTGCGTTACATTCTAAGTTTTTTCGTTTCGTTACAACAATGGTCAAAACGAAGACCCAGGGAAATTATACTTTTGACCTGGACAAGAACTTAACTTCACTTTATTTTCTTCCTTTAAGTATTTGACATTTAAAGTTTTTATTTTCCGATAGCCAAACGTTTCTCAAATGTAAAGAGAGTGCTATTAGAATTAAATTACGCTTCAATTTGTTATAATGAGCCTTCATTTTGGCAAACAACAGTAATGGACATAACAAGGAAATTAGAAAAACGACTTTTGATTAAGTTTTTCTACGGTATTATTTGTAGTTTCTGCTATTGTAATAGCAAAAACAAATAAAACTTTTGATGAACTTTCCCATAAAAATAGTTTTATACAGATAGATATAAAAAAACATGTGTTCGCCTGCCTGGACACAGAAAATTTACTGTTTCGGCGAAATACCCATATATGATACCTACTATCATTACGTTGCGTCGATTAAGGTAAGTAATTTTATTGTTTTATAAAATTGACAACAAACCAACGTTTATTCTTGATATTAATGCAACATGTGAGGTATGATGTTCGTCCAAGGAAGCTAGATGTTAGTGCTTCCTTCCGAGCGGGTGTTGTGCTCGGGGACCAAGGTCCAATTTACACCATCTTTGTTTGCCTATATATACTTGGCAGGATCTAAAACTCCGTCACCGCGATGCAGGTTTGTATGAGCGGCGGAGTGTGCCATAGTGAAGTAGTAACAGCGCCATCTGTTGGTCATTAGTTTGTAGTGGCGTCGCCACACAACATTTATTTAGTTAATGTGTTTTAATAGCTTATTGTTAACCACAACATATGGGAATGGACGGAAGCTTCTTCATCTAAACGCTTAATTATAAATATCTCGTTCATTATTTTGATAGTTACCGATTATGTAATGCTATCGATAAAGAAGTTTATCGATAGTTCACTACAGCGCAATAACCGTCAAGCAAGCATATTATCCACAGATAATAACAAAAACATGCCACCTCAGAAAAAAAAACTGTAATGAACATTGACGTATAAAACATGGACCGGGCATAACCATGAAGCTACAGATAAAAATGGAGGCCACACTCCGAATACCTACTTGAAGCACAAACTAAGTATCACTATCTCGCTCTCTGTGGACAGACTCGCTCTTTCTAAATAAACAAAAAATATAAAATTGCTCAAATTCAATGAAACCAATGTAAAATCTTTATTTCTGGACATAGGTATCATTAAAAATGATAAGTGTAATTACTGGTAAAACGTTTTAGGAAGAAATTACTGTAAAAAATGTGAAAAATGTTTACAATGATCCAATGTCGGAAATCACGAAATAAACACTTACGCGTGGAATCTTATGTCACTTCCAGGACACCACGTACTACCGCAACCACGCACTACAAAATTTTGCACCAATTCTTGTGATAAAACAATGATTATTTCCTGTAAACAATCTCAAACGAAATTAACTGCTTAATAAACAAAATAGTAAACAACCGCCATGATGGGCCGGATTGGGCCGATGTTGCCATTGCCACATGGTACGAGGGCTGCACTAAAAGTATCGGGAATGGAATATTTCCACTGTTCCAGTCATATTAAAATCTATTTAATTGCAAACTCCAGGGTTTTAAAAATCGTATACCATTTATTTATTTAAAAAAAGATTCTCGGTCGTATCACAAGGTCTAGTCAAACTTGTTTAGTCGTTGAGAAAATGGAATTGACTCGAGAAAATTCAAGAGCGATGATTTATTATGACTTTCGGAGTGGTTTAACACAAAAACAGTGTGTTGACTGGATGATTTCTGCATTTGGTAATGAAGCCCCATCCAAAACCACAATTTATCGCTGGTTTCCTGAATTTCAACGTGGACGTGTCAAGCTCAGTGATGATCCCCGTCAAGGTCGTCCAAAAACTGCAGTCACCTAAGAAAACGTTGATGCTGTGCGTAAGCTGATTGAAGAAGATCGACATGTGATATACCGCGAAATTCAGGCAACTTTAGACATTGGCATGAGCCAAATACAAATAATCTTGCATGAACAATTAGGTGTAAAAAAGTTGTTTTCCCGATGGATACCGCATTCGCTCTGTGAAGAGCAAAAAGCGGCTCGCGTTACTTGGTGCGTCAGAACTCTCGGGAGATTACATGCAGGATCCTCAAATGCTGTATACAACATCGTATCAGGTGACGAATTTGCAACTAAACAATGGATTAATTTTATTGTTTATTTACACAAATGTAGTGTCTGTAGGGGTAAACCCATGATTTAAATAGTAAATGTATAGGGTAAATAGGTTTTTGTCTGTGGTGTCTTTTAGGCATAAATCTAATTTCTTTGGTCCTAATTTCCTTGTTTTCCGTGGCATAAAATGACCTAGGAAATTATAAAAGACCATTAATAATTCGGCGTAAAGTCAAATTTTGAGTATTTCTTTATTGGAATAAGTTTAAAATTTAAATTTTAAGAAATAGGTATCAGAATAGATATAGAAAAACTTGTTTTTAACTTTTAACTCAATCTACTGCATTTATCTTCCTTAGTTGTGTAAAAAGGTCGTAATGATATAATATTCATTGGCATGTTTGCTTGCGAAAGTACACAAAAATAGGTCGAACAAAAAAAAAGCAAACCACAGAAGAAAACTTAGAGAAAAAAATATTTATAATAATTTCCTTGGCTACCAAAAAATTATGACCTCATAACTTTGTTTCTAAAACGAATTATGACACCCCTTCTAGATATATTAGCTTACTTTTTACTACTTAATGCAATGGGAAACTAAAAATAGTTAAAAACAGAAATAAAATTCGTGCCAAGGAAATTAGGCAAAATTGACCATTTTTGGCGAAATACCCTAATCTTAGTTTCAAATATTAATTGTTTATTTGTTTAACTTCTGATTTGGTTAGTGAATTGGCTATTTCGAAGAATTTACAAGGAGATTTAAATCAGAAGATAGCAACACTACAGTTCACACTAAAAAGAGAGGTAGGGCCGCAGAGAGCGAGATAGATATAAGTAGGTATTTGACTCAAGTTTTTGTTCCAACTCTGCCCTCCATTTTTATCTTTAGCTTCATGGGCATAACCATACAAAATAAACGTGCTTGATGGCTCGGTATAACTACATATTACACGATTTGGGGAATGAACATAGCCATGGCAAACAACATGGAAATATAGATGCAACAGTCCACGCATTTTAAGACTTATCTCAGTCTGAGGCTGAGAGAAAATAATTGTCTTCTAATTCGTGGCTGTTCTATGAGTATAAGCTCTTTGTGATTGGTGTGCTTTCTTTTTTTTTTTTTTTTTTTTTTTTTTTTTTTTTTTTTTTTTTTTTTTTAGACATTTTGAAGTAGTATGACCATATTGAGGATATATCTGGGACTTTCTGTGGGACCTTACTTATCTAATTTTGCATAATGTTTTCTACGGCCGTTTACTGTAATCAATCCATATCCAAATCCGTCTGTCAACTGCCAAATTAAAATCTGTTTTCTATCAAATATCCACAGTTTTCGATGCCTTTACACTTTCTTAATGTTGTAATTCATCTTAAAACAAAAACATCGAAAACCTTTTTTCATAATCATATTAAGTGCACTTTATCAAGACACACTGTTTAAACGTAAATCAGTCGTTGTCGTCCTGAGAAAAATAAATAAAAGGTTACCCTACTTAGAAAGAGAGAGCCTGCCCACAGAGAGCGAGATAGTGATACATAGGTTGTGCTTCAAGTAGGTATTCTAAGTCTGGCCTCCATTTTTATCTTTAGCTTCATGTCTCTGACTGACTGTCAGTCAGCTGTCAGAGGTTTTGTGTTGTTGTTTTGAGAAGAAAAAATTCTTGTAAAATAAAAAGCCAGGCAGTAAATTGGTAGACCTACACATAATATCATCATTACGAATTATAATTCAAGTCGGCAAATATGTCGGAATCTTACGGTAAGATCATTTGTCTAATATTTGTTTGTAACGTTGAATTATGTAAAGGTTTTTTAGATTGTTCTTCCTCTTTCTTTCAGAATATCTGTTCAAGTTCCTAGTTATTGGAAGTGCTGGGACTGGAAAATCTAGTCTTCTGAATAATTTTATTGGGAACAAATGTAAGTAGGCCTACCTTTTTTCGTACCTAGCTTAATATTAAAAACCCAGTTTGGTTCTGTTTGTAGTGTGTATCGACACGTCTGAAAACTTATCGTACCTATATCACTAAACACTCCAGTTTTCTCTAAAAGGTTCAAAGCAAATAGGGCAGCATAGAAACATTTGGTTGTAGTGAGAAGCTAAATATTTTTACAATACAAACTATCTGTACACATAATTTATAATTCGTTAACCATAGATAACATTGTGTGATAACAGTTCACCTTCAAACACTAATTTGTAATTTATATTCAATACTTTCAGTTAAAGAAGACAGATGTCATACAATTGGTGTTGAATTTGGTTCCAAGATTGTCAATATTGGAGGTAAATCAACAAAACTGCAAATATGGGACACTGCTGGACAGGAAAGGTTCCGCTCAGTTACTCGATCTTATTACCGGGGTGCTGCTGGGGCCCTGCTTGTCTATGATATCACTTCGCGTGATTCATTCAATGCCTTGGCCAATTGGCTCCGTGACGCAAGAACTCTGGCTAGCCCGAATATAGTGATCTTGCTTGTTGGCAATAAGAAAGATTTGGAAGAATCAAGGGAAGTCACATTCACAGAAGCCAGCCAATTTGCTCAGGAAAATGGTGAGTTTATCATTTTCACAATCCTTATTCATCCTAATTTTTTTACATTTAGGATAAAAGTATCCATAAGTTTAAGTAGTAAATACCATGGGTTATGTATTATGTATGTGACTTTGCTGGTGTACCTAATAAATAAATAAATAAATAAATGGGTTAAAACTCTTTTTAATTAAGTAAATTAATATTTAGATTCTATTTATTGTTTTGGTAATTTTGTTTTTTGGAAAAAACATGAATTATTATTTTTATGTTCTCATTTAAACACTGTTTATTTCTTCAAAAATATAATATTTTCTGTAATTTATAATTAAATAAATTATCAGTTGGTACATTCAGTACATTTTGTAAAATAAATTTTTAACAATTTCAGAGTTAATGTTCCTGGAAACAAGTGCTAAAACAGGAGAAAATGTGGAGGAAGCATTTTTGAAATGCTCCAAAACAATACTAGCCAAAATTGAAACTGGGGAGTTAGACCCTGAGAGGATTGGTTCCGGAATCCAGTATGGCACATGCACATCTAAGAAGTTAAGTGCACCGAAGAAACCTGCTCGGACACCCTCCGAGTGTGCTTGTCGTGTTTAGATCAGGTATGTCTCCTTTGTTAAGCCGGAGTATAATGGTCTGATTTATTGATTCTAAATCAAAAAATAGAAAGGAGGGCTATGTGTAATAAGTAATATAATAATGTATGTCAATATTATATGTACTATGATTACAGGGCTACATCCATAATTTACTACAAATGAAAGTTTCAACACAAAAACCTGTCAAATCAGGTTTTAAGTGTTGTTGAAATCTTTTATAAAATATATTCCAAAACACCAATTTACTGAAACCAATTGAAAAATATTTTAATTCAAAATTTATGAATATTTGTTGATGATTTGTATCCACTGTAAGTGCACCTACAATACTACATATAGTACATAGTATAAAAAGTACCTATGTACCTTCTCAGGTTACCATCATGTAAATCAATGGTTATGAAAAATATGAATTTAGCAAGGCATTTTTGTATTTTTGCTACAGTTCCTGCCAAAGACTGCTTTGATTATTTTATAAAATAAGAGAGCAAATATTTAGTTCAGACTTTACATTTATTAAAAAAAAAAGTATTTTTCAATATTTAAAAAAACGTAGTAAATTGTGGATGAATTAAGTAAGAGTAAATAAACTTGTGTTATCAACTATATTTTCAAATACATAGCAAAATATAAATTTTCATATTTGACTATTAGGTCCCATTCATATCTTAGGACGGGAGTTGGTGGCGGGAGTAGCGCACTTTAAATTGTAGAACGATTTATACTCGGCAATGGGTACCGTTACTGTACCCTATAATTAAATCACGTTTCGAAAACCTCGCTTTTGCTGCGAATATACGACAGTATAAATAGAGTACACCCTAGTCTAGTCCTTTTTTTGAATTGTCAAAACGCGACTCTCCCTCTTTTTTCGCGCGGAAATCGACCAAACCTTGTTTTTTATTACAAAATAGTGTAATAAACCAACCAAACATACTATCACATGTATACCTCTAAACTCAGTCTGAACTCTGAACTGAGTTACGAGCATTAGAAGTTTGATGATTTTACATACTAAATTTGCATTTTGCGCGCAAGTTTTGTGAGAAATTGCAACAAAAAAGTGACATTGTATGTGTAAACAAACAATACCATCCAATATAGGCTCCAGCCTAAAAATCAGTGTGGTGAGCAGAATCAGCGCAATAAAAAAAAGACGGCACATATACTAACGTATATTCTAGTAGTACATTGAGTAATGTGTGTCGATATGGGTTTAAAATCCCGCCGTGAGTTCTTAGCCTAAATCGGACTAAACCATGCTTTTGGGAGTGATGCCCCTTTTCAAACATCAATAGGGAATATTATAAACGCACCTTTATAGCTCGTATTGATTGACTGCGCTTCTAATGTGATCATAGCTTTGTCGGGAAATGCTTTGCCGACGTAAAAATAAGCCTTCGGTCAGTGGGTTTATGTGGGACTCCCTGCCAGAAGAGGGGGACCTACCTAGTCTACCGATTGAAACCCGTTGGTGTCCACCGGAGCCCAATGAAACTGAGCTGCTAGTTATTGTTCTAACTTGGACATTCGTTTGCAGTCACGTCTCAGTCTATGGCTCGCTCTCGAGTGAATCATGGCTAGATTTATTTTCCTTCCCCACCCGTGCCCGCCCTTACGATATGAGAAGCGCTTGTGATGCTAACATATTTATGAAAACCATCTAAAGTTTGGTTTTTCGCTTTAAATGTGATCTTATCTTGTTTTCTTTTCGACTGACTTTGACGATTTAGATTTATAAGGATAACCTATACCTACTCATAAATTAGTGTGTAAATAATTTGAACAGTGATGATTAATTATTCTGATGTTTCATGTAACTAACATTATCATAAGATAAGATATTATAGAGATTATTGTTCATTTAATAAATTACTATCACCTTTATACATAATTTAGAAATAAAAAAAAAACGGTTAAATTATGTTATGAATTTAAAACTTAAACATTTGTAAAATAAAATTATATGTAATAAAATTATCTTGAAAAATAATTCTAAAAACTTTCAGAAGTCTAATAATGTACTAAGAGGAAAGATATCTAGGGATGTAGGCCATGAATGAAACGTGACCATTCTTTTAATGTTGACCCCAAAACTCAAACTGGCGAACCAACAAAAATGCGTGTTGATATTTATTTTCGCACAAAACTTTTGCATTCTTAACTGGTTATTCCTTGAAGATTAATAGCTATCTCCAAAATTCGACCTATAAATAAAACATGCGAACTGCGATAGTTGATATATTTTTACGGCAAATCGCGATTCCTTCAGAGAATTCGTAAAGCAATAGGAACTTATTATTACGTCACTTATTGTTCATAAACTTGAAAGCCCAAAATCTAACTTTACACTTGATTCAATAATATTTAGTGCCGTAAGATTAAGAGTTCTATTTACTTGTTTAATTGTAATAACAGAGTAACGATGCCGGGCATTTTGAGTTTTGGTAATCATAATATTTCTGGTGAATGGTACCGTCCAAAATTATTTCAACGTCGGAACTTTCCTGAAAGAATAAGGACGTACGATATCTCACGTAGTCATCTTCATAGGAAGATGAAACAATTGTGTTTTATGGTACTAACAAAATATTTTTTATAAAATATTGCAAGGATAATCAAAAATTAAAATTTATGGACACACTGTTATTAGACATAGTTAATTAGTGATATTTATTTTTCCTAGTTTTAAATACTGTATCTGATTTTCAACTGCACCATTTATTGTAATTTGACAATAAAACAAATGTAAGTAACCATTGTTTTATATATTTATTTTCGCATCCACTCGTAAATATACCTAATATCTTAGATTAATAAAACCAATATCAAATTATTTTTCTTAAGATATAAGTAGTATTTACTGAGAGTTTTAAAGATAATCTCTGTAGCCTAATTAACAATAAATTATTATTTATATGTAAATGTATATTCGTGAACCACTATATTTTATTGTCAGACACTAAAAAAGGTAAAAAAGAAAAAAGAAAATGTTTTTATATAAATTTTAATTTTTGGATAAGTAACATTGCTAATAGCTCATACACAGACGGAGCTAGCTATATATACAAACAATTCTTTCATTTTTTCTAAAATGTCTCAACATAAATTTTCTTAAAATAACTATCTACAAAAATTATTGGTAGTTAGCTTTTTAAAATAACCACAATTTTTATAAACACTATTTTAATGCCGTTATGTACATAAACAAATATCAAACAAAGCTCCCAGGCCTTGACAAGTATTTACACAGTGGACAACTTTCATAACCCCAAGTGTCGGGCAGGATATGTACCAGAATTCTGCTGCTTCCTCCATTTTTACAGCTTTCCCTCAATATCATGATTTGTTTAATAAACCTTTACTTTATTACAAATAATGATAAGATAAAAACAACATTGAATTAGTAGTGGTAGGTGAAAGAGACCCATGGAATGTTGATATTTGCTGGTTAATAGATAGTAGGTACTCCTTTCGAGTTAACAATTCAATTAATGTCTCTTAAAACTGTAGTGTATGTTAGATATTACAATAATAAAGTCTAATAAGTTTATTTTACAATAACAATTGAAGATCATGTAATTATTCTTATTTTACAAATAAGTAACTAGAAGTTTTTTAAATTACACTAAATGTAAATACTCGTCCCCACTAGAGAGTTCAGTTATTCAAATGTTTCCCGCCTTGTTTGGGTGTAAAGATTTGTAAAATAAAACTTAAATAAACATTGTTCCTGACAAATGTGTCATACAGAAACCGTGAAACAGATATTTCAACTTGTATTCTAGGAGGGACATACTTTTAGTATGATAGATGCAGCAGTTATTTTGTTACTGTGTGGCTTTGTGAAATACAATTTTACTTGAGCAATCTTGAAACCCGACTATCTGTAATTAATTTATCTGTAAGAAATATTCATCAAAAATTGTAATATACATTATCATTGATTTGCATTTGAGGGTACAATACATATAATGCCATTCATTGTAAATTTTATAGGTAGGTACTTAAAGATCTCAAAAAGAAGATATCTTTGTACTTTATCAATTAAGTTACCTACTTGGGATTAAATAATAATATCAGATTCATATCATAAGAAATAATTAACGAAACTGGTAATATAAATAAAAAGTATGTACCTAAACATAATTAACTAACTCTACACTTAATGCTTAATAATTAGGTACACGTAACCCAAAAAAAGAGCATGCAACAAAAAGTGCAACAAGACACTCTTATTAAAGTAAAATGCACCTATTTTAATATAATCTAGGAACTATTTTAAGGTGTGATGTGTGTATTTAATACCATGATTCATGAAGTGGCCAATATCTTGTGCATGATTGTAGCATCACCATGGTGTAGCACGATAAAGCATTTTATGCCACATCGAATTGCATCGCTGAATGATTTCGTGCTATTCTTAAATTTGCAATACACACACTATCCAAAGAAAACTAGAATGGCAACGAAAACAATTCTTTAAAAAAATAGCCCTAGTTCTATCACAGTAAAATATCAAACACTTATAAGTACAACATAAGTATCTAAGACTTTAAAATAATTTTAAATGTCTCCAAAAGATCGATCGTTATTTTTTGTATTATGTTTACCATGAAACCAAAAACTATTTGAACATTGTTGAAGAAAACATTATACATTTTCAAAATAAATACAAATCATGATTGTAATTTACTCGATGTCAAGTCAACGGACTTTAGTAACTTATAATAGCGACTTGAAGTGCATTGGTGATCTGATTAATATGGAATGATCAAAAAAGGTCACTCTACACGTAAATTATGCACACATGTGGATACACTTTCAACGCAATCAATTGTAGGTCAAAATCTAGTTGTACAAACTGCTTATTTTAAATATGTAACATTACATATAGGTAGGTGTTTGAACTTTTTAAATTCTGTTTTGGACCTATCTTAATTAGTTTTCGTACTGGTAGAGTATGTGATTGTTTGTTAATTAGAACTATTCCACCCACAGATATCAACAGAAGACATAACGTAAATCCATTCTTACACTTATCAAACAATTTTTAACTGTTTTATAATCACTTATTGTAACACGAGTTTCTCCCCGTTAAATTATTTTAAAAACTACTTATTGCTAAATTAATAGTACAATGTCACTGAAAATAATAATGTGGGGCCAATAAAATTGTCTGCTGGCTAAGATAGGCACTCTAAACCAAAATGCAACGCGTAAGTACTTAATTTCTACCGACACGATTTATTATTTTCAAATTCCAAATTCCAAACTTTCTTTCTATCCAAGTTGTAAAGTTAAGTATGTAAGTGGTAATAAAATATAATTGCCTTTTAATTTTAAGTAGATAGCCAGTTTTTTTTTATAAAAATAATTGAATCGTGACTAGACCGATTACAAAATTGAATAAGTACATGCTTATAAAATTTTTAGTAATATAAGGTATGAATAGGTTCAGTTTTGCAACACGTTATACTGTGCCTATCGTGACAAAAATCTTTAAATTATTTCGGAAAAATAATATACATAAATAATTTAATTTTACCAGAGAGCGAGCATGCGATAGCAGCTGATTTAAGGATTGAGGATCTAAAGATTAAAACATTTTACTCTTAATCACACTCGCTATCACCTCTCAGCGCTCGCTTGAGAGGTTGAACCCTCTAATAATTTTATTTTTCAACCTAAAAAGCAGACTATTAAAGCAACTAACCGAAGTACTAACTCGCTCGCTTAACTTACGCAACCTTGCCCGCTTATTGGAACAGACCACGCGAATCCTCGTGAGGGTTCCTAATGATACTTATGCAACCGTTCAGTTGAAAAATAAATCGGTTACTGAAAATATGACGTCGGACGAATTCGCCGAAGTACGTCATCTCCGTCATGATATGATTTCGATGTTTACCAAAAATATTAAAATAGATTTCTTGCATAGTGAACTTCGGAGTCGCGTCAGCTGCGGCCGAGCCAACGCATCGGGCGGAGATTCCTCTCAAAATAGAATAACAGCTACCTGCGCCGCTTTAGTGGTTATTTGTCGGTGTGCGATAGCGTCGAGCGAGCTGGGGCCGGCCTGAGGCCTACGCGAACTGTAGCCTCTGGCGGCAGGCCACCGCCGCCACCAGCGCCGCGCCGCGCCCGCTGCCGTCCTCGGAAAGCATCAGGTCGAACTAAAACAAACAATAACATAACATCATTCAAGCGTTCAATACGCTGCCCAATATCGATAGTCAGTTATCGAGCTGTCCTTGTAAATAGTCCAATTTGATGAGCTGGCTATCGGCAAGTGTCCTTACATCGATATCACCAGGATTATATCATTTATAACTATGAATACTCCTTTATATTGTTGTACTACTGTCGTACATTAGTATATCGATCGAGGATGGTCAGTGAACGATTACAGGTTTGATTAAATTCCTGCGAGGCCTTAATGTTAGTATTATTTATCTTGGGACATAAAATAGTATTTTTTAGTAGAATGATTAATTTATGAATAATATTATTCACATTAAAAACGATTCTCGACGGCGAAGACGGTGCTTATGATTAAAGTTCAACTGCTGTCCTTCATTCATTAAGACAAACAAGTTTATCTGGGCGTGACTTTTAAATACCAGGGGCTCGTCTTTTTAATGTAAATAATAGTTATTATCAATCGATTCAGGGCATCCGCCTGCGCAAACAAAACAACCGAGCGGCGCGTTCTCGTTGGCCATTCAAATGGGTGGCGGCCAAAAAACTTTGAACTCTGATAACTTTCAGTAACGTTTATCTTTGGAGTTTAATAAATGCCTCATTAACAGTCATAAACCGCTATTTTCTTACTATATTATTATGATAACAATGGAATCTTTTAATTTATGCGATTGCCAATTAATAGATTTATTAACTTCCTTGGTAAATTGCGTCAGTCGTTAAAAGTATATTTTTTATCTAATCATAAGCATTAGATGTAGGAAGCAAGCATTATGATATAGGTTTTTTTTTATGTGACTGGAGGCAAACGAGCAGACGGATCACCTGATGGTAAGTGATTACCGTCGCCCATAGACACCCGCAGACCCAGGGTAGGTAGGCATAAATTTAATTTAAAATTACTGATGATATGTTAACTAGTGACCTTAGCATTGACTTAAAAGTAAACAGTACAACAACCTTTTTCCGACTACATTGTGAGATTTAGTTATTCTTCTCGAAACAATGTTAGCTCTCTAAAGCTTTCGTAGCTAAATTTCATGAAATTTGCGTTCAGAGTGCGTCAGCCGGTTGACGTCATTGTTTAATCTGCATAATTTGTTATTTTTAACAAGTAGCCAGTTTACGTGACAACAGTCGCTACAACGGACACGCTGTTTTCATGTTATTCTACAATATCCCCGTTTAAAAGTCCAAAATATTGTGTCCATTCGTTGTTGGGTTCAGCCACCCATTGTGCGGCATGTGTTACGTCAATTTGAATGCGGCTATTCCTATCATCATTATTTTTCAATGATGCGCGTTCCACCCACGCCAAACAACTATCACGTGAAAGTGGATTGTGGGGGTGGTACGAGTAGGCATACATTGATATAAATGAATTGGAAATACCGATTTAAAAATACCTAATGTCGGTTCAGTTGTGAAAATGAAGATTTTCAGATCTTATTTCAGCACTGCCACCTCAGACTTCGAGTCCTATTTTGTGCTTCGAGTGAGGCACTTTGTCACACTGCCCAGGCGCAGACCGCCGACTTTTAGTTGGCCGATAGTTTAGTCGGGTTGTTAATCAGTATGGATATGTATGAAAGTGTGCACATTACACCGATTTGATATCGGCCGATTTTTCAAACAAATTAAAATCGGGACCTATGGGCCAACTACCGACGTGACGTGGACCGACGACATCGTAAAGGTAGCAGGGAAGCGCTGGACGCAGGCCGCTACCAATCGATCAACATGGAAAGCATTGGGGGAGGCCTATGTTCAGCAGTGGACGTCCTGTGGCTGAAATGATGATGATGATGATGATGATGGGCCAACTAACTGCGCCTAGGCTTAGTTATTAGATTTTAAGGTAGGTATTTAAATTGTAATGTGCATGGCATCAGCAGTATTCTAGAAGGTATGTTAATCTTCGAAGCTAACCTGTATGCCCGGCCGGACGAGCTGCGCGATCTTCTCGCACATGAGCGCGTGGAAGTGCGGGTGGAACCGGTAGACGGAGCCGTCGATGCCGACGGTGACGCGCGGCTCGTTCATCTTGTTGAGCAGCGTGGCGATGCCGGCCGACACCAGGTGTGCCGCGCGCCGCGATATGCACTCGCACACGTGTCTCACTGCTGCCATATCGGCTTCCGTGGCGTGGGCCAGGCCTGTAAAAAGAAAACAGTTTTATTTTCACAACCAACTCTGAAATTACTTCGAAGAATTTTCGCCCAGCCCAGTGATGAAAACTTGGTAAGTGCTGTAAAGACAATGTTCTCATGTACAAACGACGGCACAACGGATTACCGAGATGATATCGTAATTTTTTTCCCATAATTTACCTAAAATATTACAACATTGCAAGCTTTGCTAATACCGCGATGCCGGTGTAATATAAAGAAAAATTTAAACTAACTTTAAAAATTATTCTACGAAAATTATTCTAAAAACTAGGTAGGTAGGTAGGTACCCACCCCATCATCAATTGGAGACCCAACTGGTCCAATTGAGACCTGACTTCTTTCTTTTCATAGGTAATTACAGTACTACACTTTCTAAAAATTTTCTTACGTACGAGTATAACAAGATTGATGCTTATCGCACTAATAAAGATAAAATCGACTTAAAGAAATAATTGATTCGTCAGAAACTTACCTAATAGCGCTAGGTAATGAGCAATTACTTTGCGGCTTAGCCACAATATCGGCGCTAATACTTAGTTGAGTCTATATTTAACAAGCTAATTTGTGTTTTTACAAGGACAGGCAATACAAGTTCAGTGTAAATTAAAATTCATTACAAGAACTTAGCGTGGCAAATACCTACAAGCGATTTGTCTCGTCACTATTGCATTGCGAATCTGAGCGGCGTTAAAACCAAAAAAATATTTCAATAACAGCTTGACTCTGAAAGTTTTTGTCTTCAAAAGAAATATTTCAATAATTGCCTCTGAATATTCAGCACTATTTAGAATTTTGCATGGCTATCAACAGTTTTGAGATAAGCAGGAAAATACGATTTATTTTTTAACACAAATTCATTTCCTATCAATATATTTTAATGCAAACCTTGGCATTTATTGTATAGTTGCTTAGGTCTTTGTAAAGTTGTCTTGCATACTAGTAAGTTGGCGAATAGCATCTATCTAGGTATGTACAGTCGGTGTCAAATAATTCGTGACACCCAAAGTGGCCAAAAAGTATCCTTATTCCAAATTGAACAAAGACGTGTTGCGCTATGTAAGCTATTTGGGTATCGCGAATTAATTTCACGCTGACTGTACATTAATAGTTCATTAGTAGTATTTGATTGTTATTAGATATCATTATCAAACGACTATTGAATCGATATCTAAATATTTGCTACTCCAGCGTACTAGGAGTACCGATTACGCGTGAATCCGGTTGATAAAAGAATCCGGTTTTTTACAGAGGGGCAAAGCTCAAAACAAGCTCGCCCTGTATTACTTAACGTTCTTCGTTTAGAATCGTTTGCATCTGTAAACAGTGATTCACATCGACAGCTGTTACTTTTTTGTAATCGTCGCTCCATTCTTCTTTAGATATAGGTAATATGCATTATATGCTAGCCTTATAATAAATACATGCCAGCATATACGTTAACTGAAAAGTTTTATAATTAGTAGAAAAATAAATGAGATGCGATTTTCGGCTTTATGGACAATGATTTCATTGCATTGCCTTCATTATGCATTATAATAATCGTTACAGAACAGACCATACAGAATAATTCATCAATAACTCACTTGTATGATACAAAGAAGACCTGTTTGCGACCAATCGTCAATTGATTAAATCAGTAAATAGGATCAAAGTTTATAATATTTATAAACATTATATGTGTATACCTATTTACTAGGTACGCACTACATGATTTAAGGTAAATATTTTGCAACTTGCGTAGTTTTAATAGTTGAATAGTTTTGTAACAAATATATTTAATACCTACCTAGTCAGATCGTCTGTCCATTATAACGTGGCTGTAATGCTCAGGATTTTAGTTACTCAGTAGGTACTTCAACTTAAAAGGAATACCTACCATTTATATGTAACGATACAAGTACTAGAAACACTGAACGGTTACTGGAGTCTCACAGTTACATACAATGTTACGTCATTCGGCCAATTTAGGAAAAGTTTCCGGTCAAATCAATTGATTTCTTAATTAGCCAATCGATCCCGGCACCTACTCAAGGCAATTCTGCGTCGAACGCTATTGGGTCCATGGCAATAAAAACCGAAATATGTGTGTGCTGTACGTATATTTTGTATGTTAGTCAAGAGTAATCTCTGGCCATACACTGCTCCGATTTTCGACTGTATTTATCGATCGACAGCGTCACTTTTTCCGAATATTTTGGGATAACTATTTCTCCTGATATAGCATCAATATTTTTGCAAAATCTGTGCAAGACTGCGGTAAAGACGTAATGTACATTTATCTAAACAGTTAACAATATAATAATACAGAAGTGACGCGGTTTTCCTCCTATCTTATGCCTACAATAATGTTTGCAGTTTTATTATCATAATAACAGTGAGCGATGAATGCTTTAGACAGGTCGCCTAGTTATGTAAGCTAATTTATTAATCAATCTTTATGTAATACATGTTATTATGGAAGCTAGTTAATCATGCTTAATCATCTGGTTGAAATGTGTTGCCTCTTTTAATAAGTTGTAAATTGTAGTGGCCATAATGTGTGTGTACTTGTTTCAAATTAGTGCGTCCATGCTAGATGACGCATGATGTTCTAATCAGTCGTACCGCTATACGTCAATGACACTTATCTCGACTTTTGTTGTTCTGGGTATCTAATCGCATGGGCTTGGCTCCGATACATCAAAGGGTAAGATAGTTGAGACAGTGATATCACTGTAATTCAAATCGATTAATAAGCCACGCTTGTCGCTTACTTCAATTCGATCGATATAGGTACCATAATTTTTTGAGACCGTATGCGTATCGCCTTAAAATTCATTCTCGAATAGCACTCGTTGATGTCTTTTTCATAGTGATAAAAATCGCGTGCAAAAATCATTTTTCTTGTCAAGCTGTAGTACGTCTGAATTTGTTTGTCATGTTCATATGACGTAAGTAGCAAGTTGTCATGATGGCGCATCCGTGAAGTTGTGTTTTTGGCGGATTTGAGTTTCGCAGTTTCATCACTACAAGACAATTATTGTTGATTTTTATTATTATCAAACACTTATCTACTTCAAACGTAAGTAATCAAAGATGGAAGAATAAAAAATTGGTATCTAAAGTAAGTAAAGTATTGCCTGCCTAAAGTCTAAAAGCTCAAAAAAGTGTGAGTGCGAAGAACCCACTTGAGGACTTTTGTTGAAAGCACGGGCCCCTCGCATTTTGTTTGAAGGACGGATGTGTTTTATTTGTTTAGGTACCTAAACATAATATTAGCTTATCTTTTCTTTTTTCAAATCAAAGGTAAAAAACAGTTTTTAGTCCGCCCCAATAGAAACTGAAAATTTGTGAAGCATAATAAAAATCGACTCAATCAGAGATTACGGTGGCTCATTATTCTTATCATAGGTTTTCAACTTTGAGTTGAAGTTCACGTTATAACGACTCGGTGTCAATTTTATCTTATTAATATTATAAATGCTAAAGTTTGTATGGATGTCTGGATATTTAACATGTTTGTTACTCTTTCACGCAAAAACTACTGAACGGAAAATGAGACTTTACAGTATTATTGTCTATAACCCAGAATAACATATTATTTATAATTTATGACGATCTGTGACAAACTTTTCACGCGGGTGAAGCCGCGGGAAAAAGCTAGTTTGGCTATATTTGTTAAAAAAAAATTGACACTTGTAACTGGAGCGGACTTCAGCTTGAATTATAATGTTAAAATAAATGAATAGTCAACTCACCAAGTTCCTCGAGCACATCCATGCAGCTGGTGAAGTCGCCAGGCTTGTCGGACTCGATCTCCGACACGTACTTGGTGTAGAAGCTGCCTCGCTGGAACAGCAGGTCGGAGCCGCGGCCGCCGAACAGCAGCCCCATCTTGGTGAACTTCACCAGCGCCAGGCGGACCAGCTCGCCCATGTACATGCCCGATATCATCTTCTCTTGGCTGAAATTATAAGTCATCATCGTCATAAAGTCATTTTATCTCCACGGCCAGGAGGACCACTCTATAATTTACCAGACGTCTCAATCAGGTAATTTATGCCCGTTTTCACCATCAATCCCTAATTTTAAGTGGCCCCTGTGGTAACACATAATAGGAATTTTGTTTACATACGGGATAGATGGTGAAAACGGGCATTAGTCTCCACTACAGGAAAACGATCCTATCTAATTTACTAAAGGCAAATGGAGGGTTTGGCCAACACTCCCCACCCAGGCAGGCCAAGTCGGGTTGGGAAGCGTGACATTCGCATATTTCTCCCTTAGTCGCCTCTTACGACATCTACAGGATGAGTATTCTATTCTATTCTTCCATAACCACAAGGCTAATGTGTAATGCAGTGTTAATTAATATTTTTATTTAAAAAAAAACTAGTTGTATTATGATCATGTACCTAAGTAGGTACTCTTTTTGTTGATGGTAATAACATGTAACTTAAATATCATTCGTCTTTAATTTGATTAACACCTAATTATCAAATTACTGGTTCAGATTGGTTTGGAACCTGTTCACCTACGTAAAAAAACTGCAATAAGGAATCTTTTATACAAATGTTATTTATATTTACACATGCTGTACCTTGAACTTGGACTTTATCCTCAATGTTACGCATTGTATGACGAACTTAAACTCTGCTTCGTCACTTCATTTAATATTAAGGGGGGAACAATGCCTTGTGTGTTCTTTACATCTTACTTTATAAACATCTAGGTAATTTAATATCCCAAGCTAGTTTATTATCACGTTAGACTACTTCATTAGGTATGCAAACTAGAGCTGTCGTCGGCTTAATTTACATGTGCAAAGTATCGAGAACCTATTGTTGTTGGAACACTAGCATACTCGATCACTCATGTAACTTGAACCCTTGTTTTATGAACTTAAAACAGCATTGCTGTACTTTGCAGTGGCACTAAATTAAATAAATATTATCCTGTTATCAATAAGATACTTGGAAAATACAAACTTATCGATTTATTTGTAAACATACTGGAAGTCCAAGAGTCGATAAAATGATGACCTAAAGATACGTTTTGCTTATACTGAGGATAATGACTGTATTTAAGTAGGTATATAATTAATTAATATTGAAATAATTAAACGCAATAAATCTTAAATATTGCAAATTATATGTATTACCTAACGTTTATTAAGAATTTTGTAACTTAACGGGTAATAGAGCAGTGTTCTAGTAAATGAAGCATAAAAGACAAGTTAGTAACTAAATGCTTACATCTGTTTGCCAGGGTTGATGGAATTGGAGTCCACCTCGCGGTCGAACTCTGTGCGAACGAAGTCCAGGGTCCCATCGTCGCCGAAGGCTCCCCACTCGGTGTTGATAAGCAGGTCGGGCTTGCCAGGCTCGCCGTCGAACAACTCACAGTTCTCCGTCTTTTCTACGTAGCAAGCGTTACTCCCAGTGCCTGCATTCGTAAGTACCACTTTAGCATTTAACAGGATAAAGTTGGGAAATAACACTGACGCACACGCATGTGTCGACTGCGCAGCGTCAGAGGAAAGACAAGGTAAAGCATTACATTTTGTTAGTACATTTACACCAACAAAATTAGGATTGGTAAAAACATTTATTATCCCTTTAAAATATAATGCTTACTGTATTGTATTATTGCACTAGTTGATAGTTCTGTGTTAAAAAAATATTTTTACAAACAAAACTGTAATCTGTCCCATTAAATCCTGATATCAAGTAAAAAATAAATCACTAACTACGAAAAATACTGAGTAAACAAGTTATGTGTAAATAAAAACCAAAAAGACAAGGAAAACCAGTAGAATGTTGTTATAATTGAACGCCAAAACTTGCAGCATCAAGCAAAAAGCGACATTGTGATTAGTTACTTAAGTTTACTCTGCGCAGCATTAAGGCAGACCCACGCAAAAAAGGATTAAAAATAAAGAATGTTGAACACCCATTGCGATTTGCGATTATGAAAGAATGACAATATGAATCATGCATCGTAATGATAGTTTTGAAAAACAAAGCCGGGGATTTACTTGGAAAAGATAGCTTGAATCAACACATGACTGATTGTTAGTTATTTTGTGCGCACGCGCCGCTTTGCGGTGGTCGGTGATGTATGTTAGCTAGAGCGAAATAATTGCTACAGTCAAAATACAAGGTTTTTTTTTATTTCGTGTTAATATAAAACGACGAAAACAAAACACCACTGACAAAGCTAAAAACCCACCACACTCACAAATATAATGTAAACCTACCAACAATGAGTCCTATTTTGCAGTTGTGGTTTTTCCACGCGCAAGACATCAATGTGCCGGTGGTGTCATTCAGTATGGCACATATGTCAATCTGTACGTCCTACAAGAGTGAGAAACATGCGTATTAAGAGATAGTTCCATTCCAGATTGATTTTATGAGACCATAATGTGAAGACCTGAAAATGTTGATGATGATTCCAGAGGCCTTCAGGTACATTTATAGCAACTCAGTTGAAAATTGTATACAGCTGTACCTTCATATCTATTAACTAATTCTACAGCATCACATTTGTTTAATTAATGCCACCAACTCTCATAGGCGCGTGTCATTTTATAAACTCTACATTAATTTTTAATAGCGTTATGTGCCAATCGATCACCTTTGTTTTCAAGGCAAAATAAAATTAAATGTGTTTTGTTTGAAATAAACTCCGACCAATGAAAACCAGTATATTGGATACCGGAATAAAATAAAATAATGACATTAAAATGTGGGTGCTACTTGTTTTGCTGTGATAAAAAAAAATTGTAAAGGTAGGAATGCGGTAATAAAATAAAGCGAAATATTATTGCGAGTGAACTAAAGGAAAATTTTGAAATGGTCTCAACTCTATACAATCTACCACTGAACACACACACTGAGTTGTTATAACTGAGTCGACCTGAACGCCTCCATGGCTCTCGTTTTGTTCCAAAAGTCATGCCTTACAATACTAAATTTAGAAGAGAGCTGTTTATCATCGTCAACTCACCAATAATAATCCCTATTCGGCAACTAGGTTCCTTATGTGCACAGGACATTAGAGTGCCAGTGGCATCATTTAAGATACCCATCACAGACAATGAGAGGTCCTGGAAAATGTCTACTACTTTATAAAGGTAGAGCCAATGTGGGAGTGACAAGATTTACTGGTAGTCATTAAATTTGGAAACCAAGTGACTGAAACTTTAAAATCTATAAGAATAGAGGTGTGTTTCAATTCTCAAATAAATCATAGGAAATTATACTACATCGTACTACATAGGATGATAGTGATTTAGCTTACCCCTCGTCTAGCGATCGCATCCTTCAGGCCCTGGACGACATCCTCGCCCACCACCCCGCTACAGGAGAACCCTTTGGTCCAGCGCTGAAGGATTCCTTTCGTGAGCCCCAGTTGTTTTAGAGGGAAACTAAACGTAAAGCCAAGGGCTAGGCGTTCTTCATACACGTTATGTTCCTAAAGAGGCAGAAAATAATAAATAATGAAACAATGTTTCTAACTTAAAAGTCAATGCTTCTATCCTTAGGCTATAGTAATTTTACCTTCATAAAGTTGGCTAGACACTCTGCTATATGGTCAAACAATGCGACTCCGGTACCGGTCATGATGTGACTAGGTATAGCATAAATTTTTGACTGCATATCGAAGTGATTTTCCCCAAGATTTATAATTAAAACTCGGAAATTAGTTCCTCCTAAATCCAGAGCCAAAAATTTACCACGTTCTGAAAAGACAAGTCTTCGTTATAGCAGCCGAGGGATATCATAAATAATTGTGGTGATAAAATATAAATATTTACCTTTCCCGTTGGGTAAATCCTGAATGTATGTGAGCCAACATTTGACGATGGATGTGGCGTGCGAGTCTTTGCCGAGCCCCTTTATGAGATCGTTATGGAGCCGGCTCATGATCTCCCGGATCTGTTTGTCTGTTAGGTGGAGAATCTCGCATTCTTCGCGAATCTGAAAAATATATTTATTGCTTAAATTATTACGTATGAATTTACGTGCGTAAGACGCACTAATAGTACGGATGTCGGGAGTATAAAGGCAAGAGAGTTAATTTTAGAAAATGTCAAGTGGCCGTTTGTTTAGGGAGATCAATCATTAACTATCCGCGAAGTACGTTTAATAAAAAAAAAAAAATAGCAGTTCAATGGCAAATATCGTAATGTGAACAATCACGAAATTAATTTCATTGTTGCACCAGTCCATGTTGATATCTGTTACGTGACTGCAATTTTTTTTTGTGCATTATCTGATTATCAGAGGTGCGTACCGAATAATTTGCAATACATATTTATTTGGGGATAATTTGGAAAAGTCCTTTGATCCATAAGGAACAAATGCAATTTTCCTGCAGTTCATAAACTGAACGAGCGATTGTAAGCAAGCCGTTCATTATCGCGAACGAGTTTCACAAGGTCAAAGCGGTCATTACAACACTACCGTTGCTTTCCAATTTAATATTGAAGCCGGCTTTAAAAATATTAAAAACGTTCTAATCCGACTGTATTAATACTAGAACTCACCACTGGTAAATTATTGATGGCCATGCCCATTTTGACGTTTTTTATTCAACACAAATCTTCAATTAAATTAACTAAACCGTACACCTCACAACGCGCGGTTGAAACTTACGACACGTCTTGCCAAACTCGCAAGTAAATGAGGAATACGGCCACAATCGTCGGACGCGCTCTATACGAACCCGCTCTTTTTCATTCATGAATTGATACCATGCTGTTGTTATCTCACTCGTGTGAGTTGGAAACGTATGTATTAGAAGAGCACAGCTGTACGGATAGAAAAAAACAAGGCCCCAGTAACCTAGTAGAGTGCCTAGGAAAAAGCTGAAAGTAGGAATAATTTTCTTATTTCCAGTACTTGAATTATTCATACATGAATTTGCCCTGTGGTGGTCCTGGCAGGGTTTATCGTTATGCTAATGAATGCACCGTGTGGTGCTCGCCTCTGGTGTTGGTTTCTGATTGGCTGACACGTGGGCTCGTTCGTGACGTCATGCGGCGCACATTCCTCGATTCCTATATTTACAAGTGCATTGGTAGTGGTGAGTTTATAGATGTGAGTTGAGTGGGTGTGTGCCGTGTGCCTCGTGTATGCAAGCGACGACTATAGACAGAACAGAATTATTATATACAGCCGCCAACTTGTACTTTTATAACATTTGCCCCGAATTACTGGTTAAAACTAAAAGTGATTTAGTTTAGGTTTAGCTGGTTTAGCTTTAAATCCGGTGATAGTTCATTTGAGTGTGTAATTAGTTAAGATATAGGTAGGTACTTAATTATTATTTAATAGATAAAACAGCTAAAGTTTTCAGCTTAGTTGGTAAAACTGGTAACAATACTAGGGGATTTCCTTTGAAATTCAGGACGATTATTTTTCTTTCAAGTGTCTTATCTTGTCTACTCCAAATCCATCCAATAATATCATATCAATACACCGAAATTTTAACTGGAATAAACCAGCTCCAAGCGGCTGGACATGGAAATTTTCCTCAAAATAATAAATGAACTGATAAATCGTTTGTTTAACTTCGAGTTTGAATTTTAATTCGGCCATTGGTCTTTTTATTTGATTAATGTAAAGACAGATTAAACAATCTGTCTTAAGGATCTTATCCAACATTCTTTTTGATTGCAATCTAATCTATAGCAGACAGAAAGAAAATACTTAGTTATAAACTCATAGGTATTTGATAATGAATAAGATTTTATTATTTTTAAAGCATTCGATTTTTCTCGTATGCAAAATTATAGTAATTCTAGGGCATAAGACAATCCCCTGAAGGATGACGAGGTCCACAAATCATCTTCTGATTCTATCAACTACTTTATCAACTGAATGTCACTGGCAGTCGGCGTAAAATCGTTCTTCTGCAAAATCTTATCTCAAAATAAGAAAAAAAACTGGATGAATCTCGTTTTGAGTGGCCGTGGAATTTTCCTTTAATTTAAATAACAAACGACATGGCGTTGAAGATACATAGTTCGCTATGCTATAATTTATATTATGAAAAAATCTAGTTATTTTTACTACAATTATAAAACTACATTAACAGTAATTTTATACTATTTAAGTTTCAGTAATCCGTGTCTTTTATTAAAAAAAATACTGACTGAAAATATAATTGACGGTCTGTACTCTGAAGCATAATAAAAGTCAAATAAAGAGTGCTACGTAAAATTACGACGTCACTACGAAAGTCCTTGCTCCCTGCTACGTAAATGCTACCAAGGACTACGTTCTACGACTACGTTACTACGACCTTCGACTACGATTACGATCTATGTCTACGACCTACGTATTGATCTCTATTTATAATGTTATCTTTGTATTATTTTGTTGTTAAGTCCCGTCTTCTCTTTTGTGTTGCTTTTTGTCTTTTTTGACCGTCTTCAAGATTTTCATTATACTAACCTGTCATTACACAGGTCATCATGTGATGTAAACTTTCAATGTTCTTAGGTATTTTCGGATTTTCGTCACGGTTACATGCAACGTGCTGCCTTTTATCAGTCTAAATCTCTGTGAAAATAGTTATACTTCTTATGATAATGAGCGACATTTTCGGCCGGCCTTGATAAATTTTATAATATCTTGCAATCTTTCTGTACCTAAGCCGCATTTTAGTCATTCGTTATTTTCAGTTCTCTATAAAATTATTGAAAAAAGCAGTGCAGCTTTTTTTAGAACATTGTTTGCCGCACGTCAGGACGAACGCACGTCGAGGCAAGTTCTTGGCATAGTATGTTGTTTATTTTTAAGACCGGTGTCTCGTGACGACGCTTTTTTTATATGTTGAATCATATAGCAATTTGCATCAAGTTTGTTTATTGGAACTTTTGCATGTATTGTAAATGTCGCGGTTGTAAATGTTATTCCAGAAATGTACGTGACGAGGTATGAGTTTATTATAAGTTTTTGATGAAAAAAAAAAGGTTAATGACCTTATTTTGGTTGGTTGTCTCATGTGAGCTCCAAATAGTTGTTAGTAAAAGTACGGCTACATTAGTACAATGTAAAAAAGTTGGACGATATCAGTGTTTGACGCACAATCGAGCCAGACAGCACAGTCATGGCACCTCAGCTTAGAGTGGCTCGATAAAGCACCGTATCGGTTCCAGATAAAGTTTATAAAGATTCATTATACCTACACCCTGATATCGAGCAATATCATAATCTGTCTGTTGTGAAAACCCTCGTGCAGTGTGCAAGTGTGTCACATGGCTTTTGCAACGAGTGTGATGCTCTTTTGCGCATACATAATTAAACTTCTTAAATTAATATCAAAGTTAATTAATTTTGTTATTTTAATAACACTCGTCTTTAAATCTTATCTTGTTTGAACTTTGAACTAAGATGTTTTTAACCTTTCGTGAGGTGTAATAAAATACAAACATTGTTTTAATTGGAGATGATGACACCTGAATGCCAATGAACTAATCTTATTTAGTTAGTTATATAAAATCAATTGGGTATCTCCGATCACTGACGATTTCACTATAGATAAAAGTAAAAGTGAGCCAAGTTCAGTGGATCTGTTGGTTATTTTTAAATGGACTACAAAGTGTATAAATGGAGAACAAATGAATAATAATTCATCCAAGCGTGTATGTAATATTAAAGTGTCTCACTCACATTTGCATATAAACTGTGAAGGCACATACTTCTGGTAGAAACTGGTAATATCTTAACATAAAATCCTCTAATTCGATATGCTAATTAAGTCGCTAAATGCCAATTTGCGAATGTATGTAAAAATATTTGAAAACGACGATAGCGACTGACTATTATGTCGTTTATGGTATCTTTAATATAGAACTTTCCTACATAAAGTGTTAATTTTAGGCGATAATTTCTTTATTTTTAGGGTTGCTGACCTTGATAAGAAAATAAGGGAACTCTTGTAGGATCACTACTGTGTGTTCACTAATGTGTGTGTGTACTTTTTACTGGGACATGTTGAGGTAGAAATTGAAATTGCATAATCTCTATCAAATATTTATAGCTTAGGTCTGCTGATTAAGGTCTTTTAGCCAGCTTCTATACCAAACCATTTGGTGCGTGTACTCTGTTTTTTAGTGTTTAAGTTGTTATTTATTTGTAACGCTTTTAATACTCGCATCAAATAAATACTTTATTTCTTTAAAAAACCAATTAAAATACCTACTTACATAACTATTAGCTTGTTTTCGTATTTTTTCAAAAGTGGAAATAAAAGTATGAAAAGAAAGTAAAGCAGGTACGGAACCCTCAGCTCGATTCTTAGTTGACCGATTTATTAGATTTATTGACTTTGGTTGCAGAAGGGTGAATAATCCGAACAGTCCTTGGGACAGCATAATGAGATGGTAATATACAGCAACTCTTACGATGGGAGGACACCGAAATTTTGACCTTTGCACGTGTCGCTGAAGCATGACCTTGAGCCACGACCTTGAGCGCCGACCGGTTGCCTATTATAGGATTAATATCTACCGAATGAAACAACATTTATTAGCCGGATTGAAATATATTACGAGCTACATTTACGACCTAAAATATTTTAATATCTGAATCGATGTCGAATAGTTTGGTGCTGCTCTGCCTGAAGGATATTTTAGCCTTTCAGACTTGTCATAAGTACGTTGCCTTTTATTGATATTTAAACCGGTACAGTGAATAGACACTGACTTATTAATAGCCGATTGAAAGCACATTTTGCAGTAGGACTTAACATTTTCGTTAAATTAAATTAACCATTGTTCTCAGTGGAATATGAAAAATAAATACCTATGAGTAATAATAATTAATAATTCTTTATTTAAACAAGTAAAAAACGTATGATTTTCTACATAACCTTAAATACCGTAGTACCATTCATTCATAATGCATAAAGTGCAGTACAGGAGCAGCATCTTAGAATTTAAATTTTACCGCTGGCTCAAATTGAATACATTAAAATGTAGCATCACTTAGGTAATTACTGTGAGGAAATTTTGGAATTCATGCAAATATTTGATAATACTCACGATGTCTCGCGCTTGACGCATATCGATTCGTCTTGTCAGTCGCGACGACTGAGATAAAAGGTGATGAACGAGTAACGTTGGGGTCCACAGGGTGATGTCATAAATTCCACCGGGCGCAAAATTGCAATGATATCCGCGTTAAGGCGAATACCGGTATCAGTGACCGCGTAGTCGTGCTGAAGTGAAAGGAGCGGAGTACTCTGACCGGCAGAACTCGGAACACTTGCTAGTCGAGTCGCGCGAGGTCACCTTGAGACGCGGCGGCCGGCGCATGTGCACCACACCCTCGGCCTCGCCCCGCGCGCCTCCGTGACGTCACGCGCGCGGGCCCCTCGGCGCCATCTACCTACCGCTCACGTGATGCCCTTCACGTTCACGCAAACTATGAAATCGTTGTGTAACTGACGAAATAGCTGTCAAACCTTGCGTATAAGGAGACCCCAAAGTTTTTTCTGTACGTCTATTTGTCCTGCTAGGCGTTACCATGCTTATTTGCTTGAGTCAATACAAAACCTAATGCAAGTAACAGAATTTCCATTTATTATTTACAAGGAAATTCTGAAACAATAGGATCAAATCGTTATCAGTTAACAGATACCTAATCAATTAACACTCTTGCTTAAGTCCTGACTGACATTTTAATATTTATGAGGCTGTTT